AGCCCATAGTTTCGGTTTTGATCGAAGTCTCCGAAACGAAAGTTTGACATAAAAAAAAACAAAAAAACACCGGAAAAACAAAGCTATGCTCGACAAGTTTATGCGCACCGGCTACACTTAACTGTCTCAGCTCAAATACCCATAAAATTGGGCATTCAACAAAAGAAAATTTGTTAAATTGAATGCGCCACCCATTCAGGCGGCCCGGCCGAGCCGACGCGACCTGGACTCAGCCGCCATGTTTGTTTGGTGGTGGCGCCCCCTATAGGTCGCTGGAGTCGCGAATATGAAGATTCAAAAACGAGGTCAGTGGGTATCCATCCAGGGAAACGATGGGCGGGTCAGTATTCATGCGCCCGCAGCGCGAACGTCGCCGCCGGGCGAGCGCCGGCCGACAGTTCAAGGAGAGAAAAGACCGCAAACTCTCGAAGCGCTGCCGCCGATTGCGACAGACAAAGCGAGACGCGGAGAACGTCCGCTCGCAGCGCCTACGTACACTCTTAGTCTACAGCCGGCTAATGTACCACCTTGGGTGCCTACATGTTTCAGGAGCGGCGGAAACATGTAGGCCCCATAAGGTCACCTAAAGCCGTGACAAGCTAGATCTAACTTGTCACGGCTGTATAGTCGTGACAAATTGGATCTTGTGTCACAGCTGTATTGCCGTGACATTATGCCAGTTTGATACCGGTGTGACGCTGTACTTTCGTGACATTATGCCACGGCTATGTAGCCGTGACAAGTGGATCTCGTGTCATGGCTATGTTGCCGTCACATAATCTCACGTCAATACAGCCGTGACACCAGATCCAACTTCTCACGGCTTTATAGTTGTGACATGTCAAGTCAATACAGGCGGCCCATCTTCAGCCGGCCCGTTAAAGATGGCCGTCCAAGTTGCTGTTTTTTTTTCAGCCGACCGTTTCTTCACTTTCCAGCACCCACGCATCTTGCAAGGAAGAACAAGAACGACTCGGACAGTTACAAACTTATTTATTAGATAAACCCTGTTTTCCACTTGACCTACCCCATACTAACAAAAACAACACACTCAACCACTTATGTAAACTGAAATGTGTGTACAGGGTTTACACTTAAAACACAAAGTTAGAAAGCAAGCGCTTTTGACCTTAAATAACGGGATTAAAAAAGAAAAAAAAACATAATTGTTGAAGTAGCTGTTTTTAAAAGGTTAGTTTGTCAACACGAAAAATATAATGTTGGCGTCTACTGCAGCCAGGGAAATGGAGCATGATAAAGACCACAGTCAAACACTCAGAGCTCCAGAAATGTATAAAAACATGCTAATCAGTTATTGAACTAATTGTATATATTTTCGTCACATAAAAGTTACATGCACAGCAAAATCTCGCAATTCCTGCCCTGGTTCTAAGATTATCACACGGTCAGCGTGAGCGCATTCCAAACCCACATTTTAGCACGAGGTGCAATTGGTTCCAAGTTGCAACCGCCTTAGGTCCTCCGCTGCTGCAGGCAGGTGAGAGAGAGGAAAGTGGAAAGGAGGACCGCCCGTTAAAACTGCGTTCCGCGCCGTAAATATTGCTCGAATATAACTTATTTTCGTGAAAAATATATTTTGACCAGCGCTTTGTATTGAGGCTGTTCGTAAAAAAAGTGTCTGCGCTGGAGTGCCCCTTGGGCGAAGTGATCACAAGAATGCATTTAATGAATCCTTGGCTGCAGTTCCAAAGCAGACATTGAGTGGATGGAAACTTGTAAGTTTAACTTTCAAGCAAATGTTATGGGAAGTCTTTTAAAAACCCGTGCTACTGTCAATAGCGTGAAAACATTTGGAGGCGTGTAGAAGTAATACCATGTTAAAGGAAGAAAATGAACTAATGTTGCAACTGGCGACGATTTTTAATTAAGCTCACTACTAACTTTTTGCTGAAGCCTTTCAATTAACAAAACACTAACAGCTATCACAAAACTGCAGCCTTGAATGACAGACTACACAAAAAGTTCTAAGAGACATGAACTTCTTAGGCATAAGCATTGATATTTAACTTCGTACAAAATTTAAGCCCGAAATGTTTAGGCTTAAAACGCATATAAAGGTATAGCTTTATTAAAAATAAATACCCCAAAATACAGGGTGTCCCCCCAAAAATAGTACACACTAAAATAGCCCGCAAAAGTCAGAAACTTGACGAATTAAGTTGTAACTGCTCGCATAAATGTCGTTCACTGATCACATTTCTGTTCTAAAATTTGAGGGCTCAGCGCCATGTAGTGCAACAACTGCGGTGCTATGCTACGCTTCGCTTCCAAAAAGATTAGTTGGTGCGGCGCGATATTGCATTTCTTTCTTTTTGTCCGTTCCTGATTGGATGCAGGATCCTTAAAAGCGAGCTTGCTTTTATAATAAAGACAGATCGTTCTTCCAGCAGAGAGAGAGTCTGCCTGTTCCTTCGGCAGCCGTTCCGTCGCCGAAGCGCCGGAAACGTAACAGTAGAAGAAAAAGAAGAAAAGAAGAACTGATTTTTACTTGTCTTTTCAACGGCGGAAAAGGGAGACGCCACCTCCGTAAAAGGTAGGCAAACCTTCTCCGCCATTGAAACACATGCAAAAATCCGTTTTTTATTTTATTTTCGAAGTTGAAATTTTAAATTTTAGCACAAAAAGATTACGCGCAGTTACAACTTGATCGGTAAAGTTTCTGATTTCTGCGGGCTATTTTAGCATCTAAACTTTTTTTGGGACACCCTGTATAATAAAAGATGCAAAATACAAATGGCACCTACAACACATGCGGATAAGAGACATTATTTGGTCAGCCTAACTTTTAGATTCTAGATGAAATGCGCTTGTCCACGCCAGTTAAGTTTCTTAGTCACCCACGCACGCTCAAACCCTCACTGTAAAAAATCTTTCGTAAAAAAAACGAGAAAATGCTTGGCAGCTCTATTAAGAGGGGATGCCCGTTAAAATAACGCACCCCCATATTCAGAAAATATGTGAAAAGGGACGTTAATGCAACGATACCCATTTTTTCAAAATACGAGGATGCTCGTTAAACTTATGTGTGCACATCATTTTAACGAGCATCCTTATACTCTGAAAAAATGGGTATTATAACATTAATCTAACGTGCCCCCATATTCTGAAACAATGTGGAAAAAGTCGTTAATATGACAATACTCATTCTTCCGAAGTATAAGGATGCCCATTAAAATTATGCATGCACATAATTTTAACAAGCAACCTTGCACTTTGGTAAAATGGGTACCGTTGCATTGACGACATCTTTTTTCACATATTTTCACAATATGGGGGCACATTAGCATTTTAATGGGCAACCCCTCTTAATAGAGCTGCCAAGCATTTCATCATTTCTTTTTTACAAAATATTTGTTTCTACATCTCTTTTTAGCTGAGGCACTGAAGTAGCTCATGTTCTGCTGTCCAATATTTTTCACTTACACAAGTTTCTGTGCAACGATATTCTGAAATATAACTTCAGGGTCATTGATGCACCTGAAAACGTGAACCATATACTATGGGGATTGCAATGCAATGCAATAGTGAATTCATGCACTTTGGAGCAGCTCTGCTGCTTTGTCTAAAATGAAGAGAAAATAATTGGCACAGAAACTTTAACTTCAAAATAGGTGAGATAGGGTGCAGCAAAACAGCAGCTAGCTACAGTGTTTCTCATGTGATGCACCTGCAGACACAGCTGTGAGCTGCTAAAATCTGTTGCAAGCCAAGAATAATAGGTAAGTGGAGAGAAGGAAACCACCATTGCACCATGATTGGTTGTTTTCTCCTCCCCACTCCCCTGCTCTCCAGCCTCCGCTCTGCTGATGTTGAAAGAGTGGCGGGCTCTGTGGGAGGGGCTTGCTCTTGCTGTTCTAGAGTTGCAACAGACCAGAGCGACCTGGAGGTTTTCGAAAGTGCAGCTCGAGCTGGCCGGATCATATTAAGGCATCATATCGGCAGCAAATTCTCACAACATAAACACCCTTGAGAAAGGGTTCAGAATTGAGACAGCAGTGAAAATGCAAAATAGTTTGGTCGGTCGTTTGTAAATTATTTTTCTTTAGCTCTTTGTAGCTGTTTTCTTCGAGCTTATTTTAAACAACAAAAAACGAGGGAAATTGTAATAGCTCTTTATTATATCTAAAATTCGTTTATCGGTACTTCTTCCGAGGTGTAGGGCTATCTCAATGCTCCCTGCATATGCAAAAGAAAGATGTATATAGTCATAAGCTAAGCACAAGGCTGTCGAAACAATACAAAACAAGGTGAGCCTGACATGCACACAATACAAATAATCCTGCTCGATCTGCAAAGAGAGACCAGCTCACCTTGATGAAAACAACTGGTCTGGACCATAAGGGAAGGCCAGCGCATCTCGGCGCCTAATGTTTTCCTCCGAGGAGACCTGCGCTAATCACAGAAAATGTAGTTTTAGTTGAAAACCAATTGACATTGCAGGAGAGAGGCATGAAGTATCCGACACAGCAAGTAATGTCCGTGACAAATAGGACACAGACCACAGCTCACTTCCAGTAAAACACCGTGCTTTGGGCCTCAGGCAATTAACGAAACAAAAACTTGTCTATGCTCCATCTTGCACTTTACATGCAGAAAACCTGCAATTGCCAGGGAAAATGCAGATTTAGTTGAAAACCAACTGACATTTCAAAAGAGAAGAAAAATCTAGGGCAGCAAATAATGTCTGTGACAAGTAAGGCGGGTAGGAGACCATAGCTCACCTTCAATAAAACAATGTGCCTGGGCCAGTTAAAAAAAGAACACCTTGTTCGGACCCCAGTCTACGCTTTCATCTCAAGAAACCTGCGCTTAACAGGAAAATTCAGTTTTAGTTGAAAACCAATTGATATTTCAAAGACGAGCAAGATAAAACCTGATGCGGCTAATAATATCTATGATGAATAAAACACAGACCACTTGTAACGGGACCATAGCTCAACTTCAGTAAAACTCCATGCCTTGGACGATTAAAATAACAAAAAAAACTTGTCCATGCTCCATCTTGCGCTTTACGTGCAGAAAACCTGCAATTGCCAAAGAAAATGCAGATTTACTTGAAAACCTACTGACATTTCAGAAGATAAATCTAATGCAGCGAATAATGTCTGTCACGAATAAGGCACAGACACTTAAAGAACAACATAGCTCACCTTCATGAAGTATCAAATGTCCTATACTGAAAGTGTGTGTTAAATGTGTTCATTCGACATCCTGGTTTAATTGACCCAGCTTTCCGTTAGTCAACGATCCAATAAAAAGCAAAATGTTTGTCGAATCTGTCTTACATTTAAATTGTAGAATAGGTGTCCCACTGTACAAGCTATTTTGATGTCTGTGGGCTTGTTTCAATTCCACAAATTAACTACAAATGTCTGAGTAAAAAAGAGAAACATTAGACACCTGCAGTAATTACCACAGAGGAGAGTATGCGAATTAGCCATCCACATGTTATGGTTGCTATTGATTTGGCTTCAAATTGCACTGCTCTAGCATGATTCACAAGAAAGTTACAACTCCGCAGAGAGTGAAATACCACCACCGCAGACCGCTGAAGTGCAAAACTTCTTTTTTGCCTATAAAACACATGGTTTGGAGTGTTGCCCAATTTAAAAGAGCAGCACGCCGACATTTGGCCCTTTGATGTTTGAGCACACTCCTATGTGGAAGTAGTCAAGTGGTGTATACATACCTTCAGACTATGGTGATGGCAATTACGGTGGAGGCCTCGCTTGCAACCACCACTGGACAGAGGGACGCAGAGCCAGGCAGAGCCCTGCTGTAGGTCTGGGTAAAAAATAGAAACATTAGACGCCTGCAGTAATTACCACAGAGGAGAGAGTATGTGAATTAGCCATCCGCATGTTATGGTTGCTATTGATTTGGCTTCAAATTGCGCTGCTCTAGCATGATTCACAAGAAAGTTACAACACCGCAGAGAGTGAAATACCACCACCGCAGACCGCTGAAGTGCAAAACTTCTTTTTTGCCTATAAAACACATGGTTTGGAGTGTTGCCCAATATAAAAGAGCAGCACGCCGACATTTGGCCCTTTGATGTTTGAGCACATTCCTCTGTGGAAGTAGTCAAGTGGTGTATACGTACCTTCAGACTATGGTGATGGCAATCACGGTGGAGGCCTCACTTGCGACCACCACTGGACAGAGGGACGCAGAGCCAGGCAGAGCCCTGCTGTAGGTCTGGGTAAAAAAGAGAAACATTAGACGCCTGCAGTAATTACCACAGAGAAGAGAGTATGTGAATTAGCCATCCGCATGTTATGGTTGCTATTGATTTGGCTTCAAATTGCGCTGCTCTAGCATGATTCACAAGAAAGTTACAACTCCGCAGAGAGTGAAATACCACCACCGCAGACCGCTCAAGTGCAAAACTTCTTTTTTGCCAATAAAACACATGTTGCCCAATTTAAAAGAGCAGCACGCTGGCATTTGGCCCTTTGATGTTTGAGCACACTCCTCTATGGAAGTTGTCAGGTGGTGTATACATACCTTCTGACTATGGTGATGGCAATTACGGTGCAGGCCTCACTTGTGACCACCACTGGACAGAGGGACGCAGAGCCAGGCAGAGCCCTGCTGTAGGTCTGGGTAAAAAAGAGAAACATTAGACGCCTGCAGTAATTACCACAGAGGAGAGAGTATGTGAATTAGCCATCCGCATGTTATGGTTGCTTGGCTTCGAATTGCGCTGCTCTAGCATGATTCACAAGAAAGTTACAACTCCACAGAGAGTGAAATACCACCACCGCAGACCGCTCAAGTGCAAAACTTTTTTGCCTATAAAACACATGGTTTGGAGTGTTGCCCAATTTAAAAGAGCAGCACGCTGGCATTTGGCCCTTTAATGTTTGAGCACACTCCTCTATGGAAGTAGTCAAGTGGTGTATACGTACCTTCAGACTATGGTGATGGCAATTACGGTGCAGGCCTCGCTTGCAACCACCACTGGACAGAGGGACATAAAGAGCCCTTCTGTAGGTCTGGGGAAACAGAGAAAAATTAGGCGCGTGAAATAATTTCCACGGAGGACGGTGCAAAAGCCCTTTTTGTTAAATTACCATCAGCATGTTATGCTGAATTTAATGACTGAGCTCCAACTGTCGGTTCCCGAACATGATTGACAGTGAAGTTATGGCTCCGAAGACAGTGAACAATGACGGCAGGGTTCGTTTAACTTTCTAGCGTAAGCAACAAGTGCTTTAAAGTACTGTATTTTCCGGTCTAAAGACGCTAGGAGCCAATTTTGCCTAAAAAATAAACTTTCGTTTGGATAGTTGGCGCTCAATGCATAGTCCGCAGGGCAAAACGTAGGCTGAAAAGCTAACATCCATAGTCTGTCAGTCCGCACCTCTCGCACAAAAGATATTTGCGGACGAAAGTCTGGATTTTCTTGTGCACCTCTCCTGGGTGAACCATAGAGCTCTCAGCTTGACCCAAATTGACCGCTTGCAGGCATCCAAGCGAGCAGTGTGTCACACGCAAGGCATAGAAAGCCTGAGCAACAGATTGGAAGTGTGACGTTCACTGCTTAATCCCGGCACAAAACATTCTAAAATCTGCAAGCCAATCAGACCAGTCTGGTGGTAACGAAGGATCTAGAAACAAAAATTATTGCATAGTGTAACCCGTATCTGTAGGTAGTCCGCACAACACAAAAAAACAACTTTTATACAAGCATAGTCTGCGGACTATAGACCAGAAAATACGCACTGTCTGATTCCGGAGAGCTGCACACTTCCGTTTTGCCTTTTGATGTTTGGCCTAATTATACCAACACACTCATTGATAGAGTTAGTCATGTGGTGTAAACATAATTTGAGATGTTGCTGATGTCAGTTATACTACATGACTCACTTTCCGCCACAACATAACACAGGGTCACATAGCCACACAAAACAGTGATATATGTTTGGGGAAAAAAAAAAAAGTTACGAAAAACAAATTAATACTATGTACACGCTTGAATTTGCATGGACCAGGTAACGGAAACCTTTTCGAATTTACCGTCTGCATAAATGTACTCGGTGCGACCGTAAAAGCCGGCACGTATGGCACGCTGGCAAAATTTGCAGCTGGCAATGAACAATATAATTGTGATAAAGATTTATTTTTACAAATTAAATTACCGATTACCCAGATTAACAAATATTTTAAAATGAAGAAACGTTTATTTATGAAAGATCTACATTACACACACAAAAAAAGGTTGCACCTGTTTTGTTTTTTTCGTCTTGCTTATCCGTTTGGGGCGTCCGCAGAACGAAATGGGAAAAACAACCGTTCGTCCGCTTTATAGCCCCTTCCCCTTGCGAACCGAGAGCGCTCGCAGAATCGCAGCTTCGAGCGCCCAGCCTCCGCGAGCGAGCTCAGCGGCACATGCTGCAGCAAACGAGTTTGCTCTGTCTTCTGGCAGCCGCTGCCACTGCCGAGCTCTCCGGCGATGCTTCACGGGCTGCACGGAAACCATCTCGGGCGATGACGTCGCGTCGTGATCCGACATACAGTACATAACTTACGGTTCTGCTGCCTTAGCTATAGTCGGTTACAAGTCAAGAAGGTAGGAGAAGCTCCTCCCACAAGCGTGATGCGCCCGTTTCTAATCTCTCCGCAGTCGAAAGAAGAGTTCACTGGAAACGCTCCTTGTTCCGCTTCAATGGATTCCAACTTGTCTCCGATCCCACTTTTTAAGAAAGCGACCTTTGTATTCATTCGAGAGGGAACCGAGCCCCTGAAAGCAGCCTTTGTATCCATCGGAGGGGGAAGCTAATCCCCGAAAGTCGTATTTCTTTCCATCGGTGGGGGAGAACTCTAATCTCCCTCTCGTTGCTTCCACAATGCTAAGTCAAAGTCGAAAGATAAAGCAAATATGTACAAAAGGCAAGACTCTTCTCGCGCGTTGGCCGCGACGTCACCGAAACGATGGGACGCTATTGGATACGGAGGTGGCGGAGGGATATATGGTTCCCTTTGAGGGGAATTCGCCGCTACCTTCTTGGCCTGTAACTGACTATAATAAACGAATTGTTACCCTCCCCACGGAATAATGACGAAACTCGTACCCTCCCAAGTACCTATTAGTGGATTCCGATTTCAACTTCGATTATTAGGCGAGAGCGTCAACACCAAACTTGGGTGGCACGGTGGGCACCGTGAGCACGTTCGTATGGCTCGTGTAATATAAATGCACCCACCTGATAACATGACATCAACAGTACTGCTAGCGAAATGGATACGGTCGCTGTCGCGGCTGTGACGAACACGGCGGCATAAACATCGAAACCGAAATGTCGCGAGTGAATAAACATACGTCAACCGTATGTTTATTACCTATGCGGAACCACTACGCAGCGAATTTCTTCCAACCGCTCTACGCGCTCCACCTCCTTGGGCACATCAGTTCGTCTCCCGATCTACAAGCGCAACACACAGATCGCTCGCGATTTACAAGGGGCACAGGAATTCACCCAGCGAGCTATCCAGATTTGCAAAAAGAAGGCACTGATTGTTTCGAGAAATGCACAATTTTTCAAACGCCTCGTTCAAATCATTATTTAACGCGATTATTTTGCTGGACACCAGCCTCTTGTAGGATAGAGGAGGCTTCTTTTTTTGCATTCAGTACTACATTACCGGAGCCGACGGCAACGAAAATATGCACGGTAGCCGTTCTTGTTGTTTTTAAGATTTCACGGCTTCAGAATTGACGAATAAGAGAAAAAACATAATACTCTAGGCTCAAAAATGCTTGTATGACCAATTTCAGGTAAGCACGTTTGGAATTCGAACTTTTAAAGACACGCCAAATGTATTGGATTTTAAATACAAGAGTTATTCAAAAGGACGCACTCACACTCGGTCCTCATGCAGCACCGCAGACACTACCGACGGCAATGCAGAGCGGGGACCAGTAGCACTTTGTAGCGTATACAACATGTTCTTTGGAGTACAGATTTCAAAAAGCTCCATCCTTCTTTTTATGCCTTTCGATGTTTCTTTGAAGCAATAAAGTAGTGTTCACATACCTTCGGACGTCGCTCCGCCAGGAACGAACGGAGGGAACGGTGCGATACAGCCGAACAGGCCACGCCAAAAACCACGAGGCTTCGATTGCTGTGCGAAAGGGTAAAGTGCTATCGGAAACAATATGAGCGTGAACGCGCTTCCGCAGTGACAAGCGGAGGCGCGTTCACGCTCATATTGTCTCCGATATTACATAGAAAGTTTGCTGGAGTGGTGCATACCTTTAGACGTCGCTTCCCGCAAGGAACGAATGGAGGGAACGGCTTACATAAGGCAACGCCAAAAAACACGAGGTTGTGACAGCCGCGATGGCCGCGAGAACGTAAAGAGAAAGTTCGTTAGTACGTCCTACACGCGGCGGTACATGAACAAACGCGACGATGCACCGGAAAGGGAGAGGGGGGCCTCCGGGCGTCGGAGGTGGTGGTGGCGTCGAACACGGGTCGGGTTCGCCCTTCTCTGCGCATGCTCGGCGTCCTCGCGCCTGGCATGCTCCGCTGGCTCTCGGCTCGCCGCGCGCGCTTTTCGCCCCGCGCACTTCGAGAAACGATCACAACTCGTCTTTTAAAAATACGAGGGCGCGTCGTATTTTTTGATTGTGAAAATGCACATATATTTTACGTACATTTTTTACAGTGCTGCTACACCTTTTAACATACATTGCACGAGCCCAAGGGTTTCGGCGAAGGCGCTTGGGTAAGTCAGATCTTTCAAGTATTATATAAGGATGCATAGAGCAAAAGCCCTCTCCAAGGTACACGATGAGTTGAGTTGGATGACCTCCATTGGTTCTGAACTGCACAAGATGGTGTTCGCTGCCGGTCCAAAATATATGCGAGGACCTGGCGATCCTCCGGGTAGTATGGGTATGTCACCCTGGAAGGTACAGTGACATTGGGACTGATCACTATCGGCCTTACATTTGTTCGGATGTTTAAAATGCCAAAATCTACAATTCCGTCCGATCCTCTGGTAAAATACCGTCCGAGAGTAACAGAATATCCGCTCTTTTGCGGTCTGAATAGAACTTGCAGACAATCCCTAATAAGAAATTTTAAAAATCTGTCTGAAGCAAGCATACACTTACCAAGGTGATTAGAGAGTACTTGGAAAACCTGCTCCTCAGATAACTGTCAATGTCATCAAACCCCATTTAGTGCCTCTAATTTCATTATTGATACTGATTTCTGCCTTTTCCGTGGTTCAACTTCTTGAACTGTGCACCATGTATTTGCTTGAATATTAGGGAGCCATCTGTCAACTGTTCTTGCACAGATTTCTATAAATGTATACACGGTGCTTGTCTTCAGCCGAACAAAATTAAAAAAAAAAGCAGGTGAGAGGTACGATGAGGCCGTCATCTTGTATACACGTGGGGCTCGGCGTACATTAGATGAGAGAATAAGCGTCACATTGTCACAAACTCTGGCGCCGGCCGACTCTCCCGCGAACTTTTTTCTTTGTGTTTTTTTTGCTGCTCGCCGTGCCCCTTCGCCAATTTGCCTTTCCGGTTGGCCGCCTCGGGTTGCGGCGTCCGGAAACGGGAAGACGAAATCCGGTTTTGTTTGCTTTTTTTTTCCTCGGGAGGGCCTTCGGCGCCGACAAAGGCGTCGCTGTGGAGAGGGACGGTTGAGACTAGTGATGGGACGAATCACCGGAGATTCGGATTCGGACAGATACGGAAATTTCCGAACTTCCCGCGACGAATATTCGGCAGATTCGGAGAGTCGGCAGATTCGTCGCAGGTTGCGGACGGCAGCGTGAACCTTGTCGTAAGCCTCGCGAATGCGGTCAGTTTTCTTTTTTTTTAGGTACTGTTACTGCATATAATTAGATTTCGTCTTGTTTATTTGAACGTATGCTACGTACTGTACTGTCATTCCAAACCCTGGCTGCCGTGGCACGCGCCAAGGTCCAGCTGAGCTGATCGGTGTGGTTGACCTAGGCCTAACCAATGCACGGTCTCGGTTTCTGTGCGGTTTTGCGTTGATAGGTAAAATGTTGCGAAATGCTGTGTATTATACATAATGTGGCGCAACGCACAATAAATATATTCAGGAGAGGAAATGATTTGTCTCCTCTAGAGCTGCGTATATGCTACCTGTTAGGCGCGAGAGCG